AATAATATAATAATATAATATCATATTTCTTTTCTGTCTATATCATGGTTAGATTATAAATTTATATTTAGGTTAATTTTTAAATTAAATTCTCATATAAAATTTGATCATTCGAAAAAGAATATTTAAGTTTCTTATAGAGTTAGTTTTTCCCAAACCTCAAGAGAATACCAAAATCTTGTTCTTCAACTTTCAGCGGATGTAAAATTGTATTTATATAAAAATAAAAAAGAATCATAAATAATAATAATAGATCTATTTAGGAAATAATTTCCAACGGCATTGCTTTAATAAATCTTAAAACTTTTACAGTTAATGAATAATTGCATTTGTTTCTTAAGGCAATCGATTGGGTTTTTTGTTTTTGCGTTGAGGCATGCAACATCTTGTTGCAACCCTGGGCAGAGCGACTTCCGCTGCCAGATCTGGGCAGCAACAGTTGGCAACTGTGCGACCTTTTGGTTTGCTGCGTATTCAATTTGGGCCTGGCCAGGCCTGGGATCTTCCTCGTGGCTTCATTGAGGGCGTGCGTGAAAATTGCCGCTGGCTGGGTCTTCCTTTGCAGAAGAGACTCTGGTGCAGGGCAGCCGGGCCACGTTCAGGTCCAGGTCCAGGGGCTCGGGTTCAGGACAACAATCGCAGTAAGTGATTACGTAACCAGTGCATTGTTCTTTGGCTGCGTTTTTATTTCATTGAACAACGCAATAGAGGAGCGTCTAGAGGCCGCTTATCAGCATCAAACGGCGCGAGGAAGCTGCAGCCAGCTCGCCAGCTAGCCAGGCAGAGGCAGAGTCAGGCAGTCAGGCAGCTAGCCAGAAAAATAATTTATTCACAGCCATTATGCGCTGCGAATTTATGCCACTTCCTGGTGGAACAACTACAAATAGCCATTTAAAATGCGATAAAAATAGCGCCAACGGGCTCAAAAGCAAAAGCCAAACGAAGATGCTCTGCACAATGCGCTCGCATCGCATCGTATCACACTCAGGCAGGGGGCGTGGCCAGGGCGTTATGCGGCATTTTGCCGCAATGACTGCCAAGCATGAAACCGTAAAATGGTTTTTCAATAAACAGACCCACAGAACGCTTGGCAAGCTGGTGCCGAACGAGAAGCTTGATGCCGGCCCAAACAATGCGACAAATATTTGAATATGTTAATTAGTTTAGCAATGTTGCAGACGTTGTTGTTGTTGCCCGTTGCCAGTTGCCTGTTGCTGTTGTTGTTGCATTCAGCTGGGCACGATCAGTTCTATCGGCGGACGTGCATCGGGGCAGTCTAATTTCATGTGTTGCCATCTTGTTAGGACAGTTAGGAGCAGTTAGTGTTGCAGTTGTAGTTGCAGTTGCAGTCGCAGCCAAAGCGTTTTGCATCTTCGCACCACAAGACTAACGAGCTTGAACGCCTGCCAGCCCCACGGTCGCCGCCTGCACTTGCGTTGCGATTCATATTTACGAGTATGCCACATTCGAGTTCTGTGCGCATTTTTATGATTGGTATGCACAGACCAGCCTGGCCGGGATCTTGCATTTCGCATTTCGCTTTTCGCATTTATTGTACCTGGTTGTCATGCCCAGCGGCCAGTGGCCACACACATGCAGCCAGCTACCAATAAAGCTGCCAATGAGCCGGGCTAAAAACAACTGACAGGCCGACAGGCAGCAGCCTTATAAAGTCACAGGCCAGACCAAACAGTCAAGCGACTCAGCATTTTCCCCAATTGCACGCAAAGCTCAGATGGAGATGCTTCGCCTGAGCTGTATGTGGGCGTCTGTATGTGTGTGTGTGCGTGCACGTGCTTTAGTGATGCCAGCTCTTGTGGTGTAGCCAAAAAGGCTAATTATATAAACTAAATATAAAAAAAAACATACTTTCAACAAAACAAGACACAAATATTTATGAAGAAGGTAAAGCGTGTATTTTTTGTATTAAACATTTTATATATAATGTAAGAAATAAAAAATAAAATTAAAAAAAAACTTTAAGACTAGTAGTATGGCATAACAATTCAAAATGATTAACAAAAATCGTTGTCAACTTTAAAAAAAGCTAAAATGTACGAAAAGACTTCTCCTAAATATATTCGCTTTTATTTAAGCTTAATTTAGCGAAAACTATATAATAAAATTTAAAATAAAGTCCCGCTAAAAATGTTAAACGAAGACAAGACTTTCAAGACTAGCATTTCCAAAGGAAACTCTCATCAATATGCACGCCATTTTGTTTTTATAGAAAGCCAGATTTAGCGGAAATTGAATGGTTGTGGCTGCACTGTTGGGTTTGTCCATTCACCTGTGGCATTCCTTGCGTGCTAAAGCTGTAGGTGTTGCCCGGCACCAGCTGATGGCTTTGACAGCTACTAAATTTAGCTTTAAGAGCGCGAGACGCGCGTTCCTTGTCCAATTTTGGGCAGCAGCCAAATGGTTTGTCCGGCCGGCGCTTATCGTTTGACCATAAATTTATGTACGCCGTTGCTGTTTGCCAAATATTGCCAGCTTGGAGGTCCTAGGCCAATAACTTGTGCCAAGACAACACGCAATGAAGTTGTTGTGACTTTGCCTTCTGCCTGTTGCCTTTAGCCTGTTGCCTGTTGCCTGTTGCCGTTGCTATTGCCGTTGCAGGTACTCGTGGAATTTTACGTTGCATAAAAATGCAATTAACGGCACTTGTTTGCCATCGCTTGAAATAGTTGTTCCTGTGTTCTTTTGTATTGACACTCTGGAGCGCGACGCAAATGAACACATAACAATTAGGATAAGAATTAATTAACAGTTTGATTTAAGTTACCTATTATATTTCATTGCTTAAAAACTTTTCATAAATTCATTCAGAAAAAAAAAAATTGTTGAATCAAACTCTGGTTTGGTTATTTGCTAAAATTTAGTGTTGCCAACCACCAAGTTTAGCGCTGCCAACAAAGCTTCAAGTCGACTACCAGTAGTGCTACCAGTATATAAGTATACTCTGAAAGCTATTGTACGCAATTATTTATCAATAAAATAATATGCAGATTTGATCAAAGCAATATGGCCATGGTGTACTATACCGGAATGAATTAGAATTAGAATCAAAATGGCGTAACATGCCGATTTCAAATTCACGATAGCTTAACAGCAGTGTTGCCAGATCTTCAAAACACAGTTTGAACTTCCTTGGTGTCTCTCTCACCTGATACACTTATCTCTTCCTGGTTCACATTTCTGGCAATATTTAGTACATTTTCCAAATAGCTGCTGCGCATTATTTAGTGTATTTTGTATGTGTATTACAGTGAAAGTGAAACCTGCGCCATAGCAAACAGAAAACACTAGCAATTTTTTTTTTAATATTTAAGAATTAAACATAAAGTATAAATTAACAAGCAAAACAAAATGTGTGGGGGCTTTACCTGCTCGAAAAATGCGCTAATTGCGCTTAACATCCTATATGTGGTAAGTAGCAGGAATAACAAAACGAAAATTTGCATTTCTGACATAGAAAAAAAAAAACATTTCTTAGTCTCTATGCTGCAATATGAACATATGTATATATATTTATTTTGTTTCGCATAATTTGTGTACAGATGATTGGTTTCTTACTGATTGGCGTTGGGGTCTATGCTCGGGCGGCCTCCGTTGTCACAAATCTACCAATCGTTGGAGGAATCCTCGCCTGCGGCGTTATACTCATCTGCATATCTCTGCTGGGCCTTGCTGGCGCCGTCAAGCATCATCAAGTGATGCTCTTCTTCGTATCCTTTTTACCAACAATAAAAACTATAAGTGTGTATGCGAATGTGCAGGATGTATGCAGTGTGCTCCGACAACCACAAACCTGAAGGTCAATGCATGTCGATGGGACTGACATTGTTCTAACAGCACAACAAATCCTCAACAATTCAAATACATGCATACATATAAGTATGTGTGTGTGTACTGGCCTGTATGTGTGTGACGTAGCAGCTGCCGTGAATCAAGCAACTTGACTAATTAGCTTGTCTCTGGCTTCCGTACGTTTGGCAATTGCGTCAGCTGCAGCTTATCTTCCAGGCTGTGCATAATAACAATATTCACTGATTACTGATTTAATATTTGCTTTTATATTGAGATAACAGTTTCACGACTTGGTTTTGACCTTAACCCAATGCTCTCCCTCCTCAGTACATGATCATTCTGTTCATGCTCTTCCTCATTCAGTTCTCCATTGCCAGCTCGTGCCTCGCCGTCAATTCGGTGCAGCAGCAGCAGTTCGCTGAGCACGGCTGGAAAACGGTGCCACCTCAGTTGCGCAAACAAGTGCAGGACAGTTTTCTCTGCTGCGGCTTCAATGGCACCACCACCAGCGTCGCCAACATCAACAGCAACACCGATGACGAGGAGCCCAGCTGCGAGCTAATTAACCGAGAATGCTGCGTGAATTCGAAGGATCCGCTCTGCCACTGCGAACCCTGCGGCCCCTTGTTGGAGGGTAAAATTGATTATGCTTTCAAATTGTGCGGCGGTCTGGGCATCTTCTTCAGCTTCACTGAGGTGAGTGTGACTTGTAGCTATCTTACGTTCGGCCTAATTTATAATCTCTTGCAATTGTATTTTCTCAATGACATGCATACAGTTCGTTGGTGTTTGGCTAACAGTGCGCTATCGCAATCAAAAGGATCCGCGCGGCTTGCCCAGCGCCTTCCTCTAAATTGCACAACTAACCCCTTAACAACAACAAAAATATCCACATACACAAAACAGAAACCAAAATAAACAAAAATATATGTATTCATTAAAATAATACTAGTTGCAGACGCACAAGCGCTCAAATCGCGTGTGTCGCTGCACTAGAAAGTTGATGTCAATGTAAATGTAAATTTCATGTTCATGCAACAATCGTGGGTCTATTAGATCAAATTTGTGGTTAACTGTTCTATTAGACAGCCAACATACGTATACACAGACACACACACACACACTCTTAATATAGACACATATTTATATTTATATACAAGCATCTCAACCTTATACACATACATAACCGCATGCATAACACGGATACATACATATATACATATAAATATATTATTAAAAAACTAAGTACGTAATGCATTAGGCCATACATACATATATACTTACATTTACAACTCTAGTAATACTTCATATACATATATACTTCTATATATATACACATATATATATATATATACAAATTAACGCAAGTGTTTTTCAAACTAAACATATATACACACACACATCCATATTTCCAACACACACACACACACACTTTTTTTAACAAACCGTTTGGCGGCGTAAACTTAAATATCTCAGAGAAAATAAGTTCGGCTAACGCATATGGTGAGACATTCATTCATCTTCTATAAGTACATTCTGAGTTTGATTTCTAATTTCGTTTGATTGTAGTTGAAATGCTTGTAGAGGACATTATCAAAAGAAATTTATTTCAATGCTGAATGTGGATTATACTTGAGTACATACCTGGGGATTTATTTTGAAAAAAAAAAATCCGAACTAATATCCATGAATCACGAAGCACATGTTAACTCAAATTATTCTTCGAAATTCTTTTCGTGTAAGACTTCACTACAGTAGACTCTACTCTGTCATAACATTTTTCTATTATTCATCACTGAACTGTTCTAAAAGACATGTAAATGAAATGATTATATTGTATTATGTTTCATACAAGAATAACTGTTTCGGATTAGACCTTTTGTATAATGAGCCTCTGCAGCAATATTGAAACTTTGGCATTTCAAAGATAACTTAGTTTTTTATATTTCTTTTTATTTTTTATCAAGTTTTTAATTCGGTCTTCTTAAAACAATTTTTCACAGGTCCTGGCTGTTTTTCTCGCGCGTCGCTATCGCAACCAGCACGATCCCAGCTATTTGCCCGCACGCGCCGTTTTTCCACACAACTATCAGTACTGAGTGAAGATGGTGAAGGAGCTGCAACGAGATCAAAGAGCCGAGGCGCAGGCAACTTTTAGTCAATGGGACGAAGGCTGATTTATCGCATATTTTATAGAAATCTCCTAGCCTAAACTGAAAATAACGAACATTTCAGAGACATCCTAAATAGGCTTTAGTAAAGGTCTTCGAATAGGTGCATTAGGTGCTTGATTAGTTCCTCGCTTAAATTGTTATGGAGAGATTAAGTATCCCACACTTGAGATTATAATTGGTTTGGTGTTCCATATGAATGCAATATTTGTAAATTCTTATATAAATTGTACAATTTTTATTTTTAAATATTTTAGTTAGCTTATTATACATATTTTTAATTTGCAACTGGCAACAATCATAAAACTCAACTCAAACTGCTGTACCACAAAAAGATAAACAAAAGAAAGGAAACCCAAATTAAAAGAAAAGAAAAACTATAAATCATTTCGAACCTGATATAAGTGTAGAACCAAGTCAAATGTAACTAGCAACGGTAACTGTGTTTTAAAAAAAAGCGTAACATATACATAAATGCAACTTATATACATCTACATATATAGATATATATATATACATATAAAATATACAATTATTCMGATTGACAACTATAAAACCAAACTATAGATGTTAGATGTGTGTTAAAATTTTGAGATTGCGCTAAAGTTGCAACAGAAAAAAAMAAAAAAAAAAAAAAAGAACCCCTCCAGATACATGTCAACAAATATTAATGTATTAAAATATCAAACACATTTCCGATGAAAATCTACCCTAAGCTTTGCTTTTCCTCTGTTGCTTGCTTTTCTCATTTTCCTTTACTCTCTGAGGAATATATCAATAAATTTTTCAATTACTCAGCGGCGCCTGCTGCTGCCTCCTTTGACTGCACCCACGCAGGCAATCAGAGAAAGTATTTCTCTTCTTTTTACACTATATGCAACACATACACACATACACACACACACACACACGCAGACCACAACTAACATGTTGAAATAGTTTTTCCTCTTGCTTTTCGTTTCGTATTTCCTTTCAAAGCTACAAAGAAACCATTAAATAAAATTTCTCTGTATTCTGTGCTGTGATTGAAGTAAATATGATCTTTAAAAACCAAATAAATCCTCGAGTTTCATTTCCCAATTTATCTTGACTTAATTAAGAACAGAGCCGTCTACCGTTAGTGTACTTCGCGCAAAGTCTCAGCTTTCCAAGTGGATGCTGCGGCCATCTTATTTGTTGCTAACGGACCGCACAGTGGATGGCAGTGTTGCAAGGACGCAGGCTTTGAGCTTAATAGCTTAAAGTATCTTTATTCACAAATTAAATGTCTCTAGATGAAGTAGAGTCGTTAGAGTTAGAGAGTTGAGTAATTAAAATGCTAGGAAAATCAATCAAACCTAATGGAGCATCTCAGGTGACAGCCTCAATCGGGCTTAGAAAATATGAATAAATTGCTGTGCTTAACAAATTAAATGAACTAAGTACACTTTTTAAACAGATTTACAGGCATTACAGCTTCAATTGAACAAGGTGCAAATGTTTCAAATGATCAGCTCTCAGTTTATTCCAGTTAGTACTTATGGCTAAATCCATTATGGGAAATAGCCCCACGGTGCGCCTAGCCGCATGCCACAGGCCTCATCCCGCCCCCAGAAGATTAACGCACGCAGTTTGTTTGACACCTCCCCGGGGAACCAGTCTGGGTGGCTGGGCGACATCTTTGCAGACTTGAAGGGGATGAAGAATTGGTGCTCCAAACAAAGGCCCAACAAATTTTCGGTTGCCAAATTCGTTTCACTCGAACTTTTGAGCCAACTCAGCTCAAACGAGGCCAAGTTCAACGCACTCGCGCTCAATGGAAATGCTGGAGCGCTCTATTAAAAGAGCATAGAGAAATACATACACAGAGCCAGAGAGCGAGAGAGAGAGAGTGGCGGTCAGAGAGAATGCGAACTGAGTGAGCGCAATTTTGGTGGGCCAAGCAGGAACTGTTTGGGTTATGTAACGGATGCGCAGTCAGGTGGCCAACTAGGGTGGTGTAGACCCAGCACACAAAAAGTGGTTGCGGTGGTAGCGAGCCATGGCATGTGCGTCTCCAGACGAATTTGTTGTTGGCCAACGCAGCGGTCGCCGCTGTTTGGGACAACATGCGACCTAGCTCAAGTTCTCGGTGTGTTAGTTTAACGGACAGAACACGACATGCACACTTGCAAGTACGGATAAGATAATGTATTATGTATAGAATAAATATAAATATATATGTATACACATACATTGTACGCCAGGAGAATTGCATGTCCTTTGCGAACCCATGTGTCTCGAATTAAATTGTCTTGCGTAAACAGATTTATGGGTATTGGATTATCAACTGCAGCTGCTCAACAGACCACATTATTGATTTCCATTGTATGACTACTGGAATACCTCAAAATTGGTATACATATACACATGTCTATGCCATGCATACATGACAACAAGCCACACGAATTCCTGCACGAATTTCACTTCTTAAATAATAAATGAAATACCATTAGCTGCCACAATGCTCGAGATCCTTAAAGCGTGTTGCCTGTTTATTATCGGTTTATGCGTAAGATGCTGACAACGCAACGTATGAGCAATGCTTTATACTTTCATTTTATGGTGACACAGCTGACTAATGCACGCTCAGTGGGCGTGGCACTTGTCGGAGCTGCTCAGCAAAAAAACAAAAGCAAACAAATTAGGCGAGCAAAACAGAAACGAAACTTGTTTAGCTGTACTCTGCTGATGATTTAAAAGCTCTTGAATATTTTAGACAACAAATTTAATTATAAGATGAGCACAAAACGCAAGAACTATGCTTTAAAATGCCCGTAACATAATAGAGAATCAGAGAATCGATCCAAAACCATCCATAAATATGGAATCCTCACAGCCTGCAACATAATATATATCAATATATATCAATAAACCCTCAAGCTAAATCATAGTTTAGTTATTACTTAGCTCTGATAAGTCAATTAATTCCTATAAAAAAAAATAATTTTACTAGCCTAATTAAGTCTAGTCTTACTGTTTACTCGCCTATCGTCTATATTTGTATTTCGTCGCTACACAGATTCACGTACATGTATATCTATATAATTAACAGATAAATTCACATCAAGCCCATCGCCTCGTAAATCGTATTTACTCTCCATAACGGTGTCGCCGTCCGTCCGGCAACCTTTGAAGCATGACAAAAGCGTGGGCGTGGATGTGGACATTCGACTAGGGCAAAGGCAAAGTGAAGAGCAGAAATACAGCAATAAATAAAAATGAGTCTAGGAAAAATTTGAATGTCAATGTCAAATCAAAGTCACACAAATAGTTAAGCTGACCAATTATTTTGAACGAATTTTAAATGAAACTGAAAAGGGGAAGGTAAAAGAGGAAGGTAAGCAAACAAACAAAACACATCAGAGTCTATTATTGTGATCAGTGGCTCAGTAGCTAGTATTGGAAATGAGTAAAATAATGCCACTATTTGAATTTAATTTTCTCCCATAGACTGAATGATTTCTACTTTAACATCTTAAAAATTAAAAACTGTTGCACTTAATGCCAAAGATGCAGCTGCTAAAAAGAACCCTTTGGAGGCTCTCTATAACTTAGTTGAAGGCGATATTTGAAGTTGTAACGGCTGGCAATAGTTTATTAATGCCTTTTTGTATGCATCCACTGGCATAAAATAGAAATAGGTTTCAGCGACTCATACTCGGTACTGTAAAAAACCGTCACTTGATTCATGTTTTCTTGCAGGTCATACATAATATATGTATGTATTATATTATAATAAACAATTGAATCATGTTAATGAACGATATTACTAAACAATATTTGTCTCTAATAAATTGTATATTCTGCAAATAGAAAAAAAAATATATTTATTTATATATGTATGTATTATTTCAAACAAGTGCCCAAATACATTAACGAAACGCCAGAGTAAACACGAATAGGTGCAAACAATGACTCAAGCATACATACAAAGTATGAATATTAAATTCTCTGGAATGTTTATCGTTTTATTTGAGGAGAGCGCATAAAAAATACAACCATTTTCTGTTTTATGAGCTGAACAAAAATGTATGTTCATTTAACGAGCGGCCCTGTTTAACTCAACAACGCTTTCAATTATAAGTACTTGAAAAAAGGAAATTACATGGCGTATGCGCAACGCATATTACGCATACGCATCTTGGGCCAGCGGACAAGGGTCAGACTAAACTTAAACGCTTCGGTAGCTTAAAATTTAATTCAATAAGCGCCACATTTGGCGCTTAAATGAAATGCTTTAACGCATTAATGGGACGCTCTACAATTAGAGAAGGACAGATTTTGCAGAGGAAACAGCCGACTCGCTGCCAGTTGCGCAGCTGTTGCACGCAGCGCTGCGCTGAGTCGGGGCAGCAGAGCAACAGCCACACCCCCTTTTCGTCTCGGCTAAAACGTGATAGAAAGCGAGCGAATACTTTGAGCACAAATCGAGCTCAGAGCATGGCAAAAATAAAATCATTTTGTTTTGCTTTTCTGCGAACATGCGTTGGTAATTGTCGGCTCGTGCTTGTCGATTACAATTAACTTTTTACTTTAGCGCACGACAATTCAAAAATTGAGCTGGCTGGCTTACACGTTGCCAATTGTTTAACATTTGGCGCAGTTTGAGTGAGTTTTATGACAACGAGCTTCCTGTGGAAAGTTGAGTTGAGTTCGCTTCGCAGCAGCAGCGCAGCGCAGCRACTGCGAGCAGCGGGCAGAACATGAGTTTTTACTCGTCCATTCTCACAGTCAGTCTACGTTGAACTTCGCGACGCTGCGGACGTCAACGCCTCTGCAGAGTGTACTAGTGAGCGTGTGTGTGTTTACCCTACTGAGTGCGACAGAGACACAGATAGACAGAAAGAAGGCGAGCAACCGTTACGTTGTGCTTGTTACACGTGAGTCGCAGCAGACAGGCAGATAAACAAAGCAGCAGCAAAAGCGCAAGGAAAACGGGACGCGCTGCTAAAAGTCAAATTACGCGCGTTTTTCGCCGCAGTCAACTCGAACAAAAGCAAAACTTTTACCTTTACGTAAGTGCAAAACATTGTCTTGTTTACATTCCTCTATTTTATTTTGGGATATTCGCACATAACAGCTACCAGTATTTATTTGGCCCAACACACAACAATAGGTATTCGTCACTTTATTTGATTTACGATTGAAGTTTTCACGTAAGAAAATCAATAGTTCGTTATCCTGCCAAAGGTTAGTTTCTATGGTATACTACATAAGTATGTGGGCTACTCATTATTGTGGGCCAGCAGCAGCAATGAGCTCTCCTCCTTATAATACTAATTGAAAAAGTTTTTCTGCTCTTCAATGTGCGCCTTTGCAGCAACAACAAATGTAGAAATTTGCATTCGTTGATGACTCTGCAAATGTTCATTGAACGGTTCAGCAAACTTTTTCAAGGCTACTCGCATTTATTGGGTCACCCAGCCAAAGGCTTGCAAAGAAAGGACCCTTTGGTGCACCATCAGCAGTTGTGCGTATGTGTTAGGAATAATATGGCTCAAATTACATTATGAGTGCGCTCACGTTGGCAGGCGCATAATTAAGTCAGAATATTGATTAGGCTTCTACTACTTCTAATTAAAAATGTCAGATATTACAAAAATATGTTGTGAGTCCTGCTGGTTAGCTGAGTAAAGAAAATCTAAGATTGATAATTAAAAGATTAATTATATTTTGACAAATCAGGGTATTTAGAGATATTATCTTCTTTTTTTTATTATTATATTATTTAAACAGGCTTTCTACTACCAATTTCGCAGCGTAACAAGTTGAACATAAAAACACAATTATTTACAGTACACACTACAGAAATTTCATAACAATAACAATATAACAATTTACAAAAACATCAACTAACAAACAATAACAATTGTTACGTAAATCACATTAAATTTGACTTGCTATATTTTTATAGGAACCTCGCGGGGAGGTCCTGTGACCTATACAAAAAATTAAGAAACACTTCAAAATATGCTATGTTTATTGGCCATATCCTAAAATGCCTTGGCATTGCCAGCATTTCGTTTGATTAAGCAGGCGACAAGCCGTCAGTCAATGACACCCAATTTCCTGCTTCACTTCAGCTGTCATCAGCCGTTAATTGTAGCCTTGAACTTTGGCACTATAATACTCAGCAGTGACAGCCGCTGCGATGGGAAATCATAGCAATAAATCTATTCGACTAGTTGAATACCCTGCCGATTAAAGACTGACTCTATACAAAAATAACCTCAACAGAAGCATGTACCAGGCACCTTTCACTTGCTTTACAAGGTATACATATGTGTTCTCTTGGCAATCTGAAATTGCTGCTACACTGCCTATGGCCCAAGCAAAAGTTTATTCAGGCATCTGTGCTTATGCTCTACAGTGCATAACTGCTCTCTATATAAAACTGTTGCCCAACTTTAAGCGCGTGAGTCGCACGACTTAATGATAAAGTTTTCGCTGGCATACAATATGCGTGTTCAATCTAACGAAATCGTGTCTGCGCAGGTTGTGCCACAGAGTAAAGCAGCTGAGTGTGATTACCCTCAATGGACAGGCCGAGGGACCCGCAAGTCCGGCAAGGCGCGAGTAACTGGCGCAGCAGCTGTAGTTATTTTCAAGGACTTTACTCCTGGGCTGGCAGCTGTGGTCAGACGCCTGCCACTCAAACAAACAAACACACACACACTCACATACCCACACACTCGTACACACGCGGCTGGTCTTCGTAGTCCTTTGTTGCGCGTGACGTTTTGCATCGTTGGTTTTTAATTAAAAGCTGTCAAAACGGTCGTCGCTTTGCCCTGGCCCTAAGCAAAGCTCATTAAGTTTATTTATTCCTTTTTTTTTCGCCAAGCCCTTAGTTTTTTGCACCCACACATAAAGCACTCAAAAAGTTTTCCTCTGCTTTACTTTGTATTTCCAGCGCCCACCGCAAGATGTCGCTGCTAACAGCCAACAGTCACTCGCTGTCCGAGGAGGAGCTCGATGAGTGAGTGTGCAAATCTGAATATACATATCTAACTTAGACTAGAACTTGCAGCGATCAAATTAAATTGCATGGCACGAACTTTATTTACTCAATTTACGGAGAACACGAAACCAGCGAAACAATAGCAGCATCAATGTCTTAGTTATACGCAAACAATGTGCACTTTGAACTTTTGCGTTAGCTTCTAACGGTGGAGGCCGAGCTGCAGCTAAAGTTTCCCCAAGTTGATTTTAGTTTCAAAGACAGAGTGCAGCTGAAACATAAGAAAGATAAGAAGGACGCCTTTAAACTCCATAGCACACTTCTCAGTGTTGGCCAGGCGAATCGGGTTAAATGCTTAACCCAATTATCTCAACAGCTGCCTGACGTACACATCGAGTCGATGTCTAAAAATACGCATGCCGCAAAACAGGTCGCTCCAATATTGTCAGCAATTATTGCTGGGGGTTTGCAAATGTCTGTCTGTGTATATGGGTGGGTTTATGAATGTATGTGTGTGTGTGTGTGTGTCAGTGGAGCTGAGTGCGTGGGAGCGTCGAACAAGCTTTGATAATCAAACATTGCGTCGCCTCTAGGCTACACACACAATGGCGCAGACATTGCTCATACGCACAGTAGTCCGCAACTGATTAGAAATTTGAGTATGCGACTATACACTACCCTGTGTAAGCAATTACAACACTAATTTAGTTGGTATATTACTGAAGCAAATGAATTAATAATTAATCTATTTAATATTGACTTTTATTGGATTGACAATATTATCGAAATCGGATAATTTATCATATATTATGTACATCTATAAGCGCAACTCATCATGGCCCATTCTGTGTGTATTTCTATTATGTCTAAGAATAGCAACATCAATGACAATGCACATATCACTGCGTCTAGGTCCGTAATATAATTTGGGCAATATCGATAGGCCGTTTGGTGGAGTATTTGAATTTTGACCACGTTCCGACAGGCCGAACTTAATTCTATTTTCGATTTGACATCAGTGACGCGTGAGTAATACAGAATCTGGTTGACAGGATTACGACGTGCCCCTGACATTTGTTACCCCTGGCTCTGCGTATTGATTTTGAGCTCCTCTAACTGCCACTGCCATGATACATACTTGCATATAATCGTTTTAGCCAGTGTGTTTGTGAGTTTGTATTGCTTCCTCGTCCCACGTTTTCGTCTCTTATTTGATTTTTTATCAAATGTTCACACACCTTTCCTTTCAACTTTGACCTTAAGCAAGCTCTTTGCTCACATAAACTAAGGAATTTGCATTGCATTTGCAAGCCAAGCATCCAAGGGTTGGTGAAGGTGGGATTTCATTTATTCAGATATTTAAGATTTTAGTAAAGCTTTTAGGATGAGCTAAGAATAATAAAATAAGGTATAATTACTATACCCATATATAACAGGTTTCCCTTTCTCAGATCAATAATTCTCTGATCCTAAAAGTATACCACGGTAATTCACTTCAGCTGTTGCCTTCTTTGCTTCCACATGTTTTGGCAATCGCAATGCTATGGCCATTTGTCCATTTTCTGTTTGCATTAAGAGCTTTTGCTGCCGCTTCTTCAGCGTCGTGCAGCATCGTCTGTATCATTTATTAAATGTAATGCGGACAATGTGATTTATGGCATGTAAACGGCAGTTACAAAAGCCCCATAGAATGTAATGCCAAATGAGAGCTCAAGCGAACTGGCAAAGGCTTTCATTTTTATTCAGCCAAGTCATGATAAATTTGATTTTTATTATCAATGTCAGCTGGCCCAGTGGGCGTGGGTGGCAAATGCAGCAATTGCTCATATGAATGTGCATGTATACGTATATATGTGTGTGTGTGTATGTATGGAAACTATGTACTCCGACGCATACGATACAAGGTCACGACTATCGAGCGTTCTGTTGACAGCTTGCTCAGAAATTGCAGTGCACTTATGAGACCCAGTGGCTCAACGGCCCCAAGGAACTACAGCCAGTCAGCAGCTCAAACAATGCAAGCGGCCATTAAATAACAATTACGCACTCTATCGAGGGGAAAAGAAAGTGCTGAGCCGCTTTGTACACGCGACAGTAAAAGTTAACTTTTCTCGTTTAGAAACGACTCTCGTAATGCCATATAATTTTTGTTTATTGTCTTCACTCGTTGCTCTGCTTGGCTTTTCAAAATGAATCTTAAAAAATTGTAAACTTGTTGCAACATATGAAGAGTTTAGAGGAAAGGCAATACTAGAGAGTTTCAGAGCGAGTTGAGTAGCTTAGATATTTTATAGTACCCCTTAATCTCACTCAGTCAGCTCAGTCAGCGAAAGCCCTTATTTAGTCTTTTCGAACAGTGCATGTGATTGTTAGCTTAAAGTACCGCAGCAATACTGAATCGCTTTAAAAGTAAATACTGAAAAGCAAAGATCAATTGCCCAACTGGACTTATTGAGCGACCTCGAACTGTGGTCGCGAGTCGAAGCACGTAGCTGTGGCAGCTCCACTTTACCAGATGCTATGACTAACTCTTACGCACACACACCTGCTCTCTCCCTCTCTCTCTCTCTCTCTCTCTTTCTTTCACTCCGTTTCCAGCTAACAGTATGGTCGAGCCCCCTTTTGCTGCTCATTGACTAAGTTTTTGCTGTTGCTTCTGTTAAACACATTTATTTATTTTTATTTGTTCGTTTCGCCTGTGTTTATGTATTCGTATTTCACTTCGAGTTTGGCATAGTCTTGTGTACATATGTATGTATGTATGTATGCATGTATATATAAACAAGTATATGGGCTTTTAAGCTGACTTAAGAAATAAATAAAAGCCACAGGCGATGACGCAGACTTTAAATGGTTTTGGAATTTACTGTTAAAAAAAAAAAAAAAAAAAAAAAAAAAAAAGCCAGATTCCAATAGCAAATAGACAGGGCGCCCTAAAAATTAAGCCAAAAATGAATATATAAAATTAAAGAGTGTGATTTTCCAAAATGCTAACAACGAAATTTATTCGAATATTATTTTTATGCAAATGATGTTTAATTTTCGCTCTTTGCAAAATATCAAAGTTGAATATGCTTATTTAATTTGAATTCAGCGACCGGTTTAAATACGCTTTAAGATTGATAAAAAAAAACAAGTAAGAACGTTGCAGTCGGGCGTTACCGACTGCGGAATACTCMTTCACATMCCMTCAACAATTTAGTAGTTAAGTTTCGTTCTAATACTGTAGAATATACAGGTTTTTCCGATTTGCCACGCCCCAACTGGGCGTAGACACCTCATTTTTGGTCAGTTTTTAGAAAGAGATAACGTTACCCTAACTGCAAAGTTTGAATGCTTACCCTAAAAAAATGTGAAAATTACAGGGTATTTTTCGATATGCCACGCCCCTAAAGAGGCGTAAAAATTATTTTTGGGGAATCGATAGAGGAGGCTACCAGTAACTCAACTATCCAAATTTGAAGCTTCTAGCTATTATACTTTAGGAGATATAAACTTTTGCGGTTTGCCACGCCCCCTGTGGGCGGACATATATCCGACAAAACTTTTTGGTCTTGGGTGATCAGTCCGAGTATATATACAAAATTTGAGGTCTCTGCCATCAATAGTGTCCAAAATATAGGAGAATTTAAAAAATCACTATATCTTCAGGTCCGATTTGCCACGCCCCCAACGGGCGTAGACTTATAATTTATCTTCAGACTTTATAGAATCATACCATTAGCTGACGTGCAAAATTTCAGCATTCTAGGTTTACAACTTTAGGNACGGACAGACGGACAGACGGACAGACGGACGGACAGCAAGACGGACATTGCACAAAACCAATATACTGATTCACTTTCGTGAATGAGTATAATAATAAAAAATAAAAAAAAAAAATCTATTTGAATACACATAAATATTTAGATTATCGCACTTATTCGGGTGGCATTTTGAGTGTAGACACCCTGTATTATTCCGAATGTATGCGCAGCACTCAACTTTAATTGCAATTGAATTGTGTAATGGCAATTGCATTGTACACGGTAATTTACGCAAAAGAGTTATGCATGTGTGCTAATCTAGTTTAAACTACAATCAATTGCACATAAGATGAGACATGTGTAAGCATAGTCTATTCTTATCAGACAATGTGTATGATGACAACAAAATTTTAAATGACATTTATTACACACATAAAAGACATAAGTGCTGTTTTATATTTACATATTTGTATAATAAATTGCGCTGTTAGTTTGACATATGAACTTCCGTTAGGCTCTTATCATTGGATTCGTACATCCCCACTAAGTAAAACTGCAAACAGCGCCGTTAACAGCCGACACGTCCCGCCGCTCAACATGCCTATGTACATTAACAGCGAGACAGTCGCAACCGGTAGCTCTCTGTTAAGTCTTACATGGCATTGCTGTTCGTCGCCTATAAAGAGCCTGACGCGCCACACGAAAGTTTTTAGTTGTTCAGAGAGCCTGAGCGTGCACAATACGTTTAGTGTTGGTGCATTATACGTAATTTTTCTGTTTTTGTTTGAGTGAGTTCGCGAGCAAAACTTTGGCAGCTGTCATTGGCGGTAGTTAGACGATTAATTAGTCAGGACAATTTAAGGACACAGACACAGGCTGACATCATGCCACCCACCATAACTGAGCATGAATTTAAGGCACATTGCCGCACAACACCGCAGGACGATGATAAGGACGAAGCGGACTTACATCTGTATCGTATAACGAGGTAAGAAAACAAGATTCCAACAAACCGGCTCACAAGGAATTCAGATAGGCAGATGCCAAATCCAATGCCAATACCAATGCGAATGCGAATGCGAATGCCGGGGGTTGAAATATGTTGTTATTATTAAATTTGGCGGGCTGCCATTTGGTTGTGTCAAAGGTGAATGATTCACCGAAGCGCATCCGCAGCTGAAATTCACGTGAAGATGGCCACAGCTGGGGCCAATTTCACAAATATATCAGAAATTTGTAAGTTAGCTGAGTTGGCAGCTGACGTAAAAGTCTGCGTGGTTAGCAGAGCAACAAATAATCGAAGCAAAACAAACGTGAAAGAAAAAGAGAGCCGCGTGAGTAAAGCAAAACGACGTGATGAAAACGAAACACGAAAGAGATTACAGAAGCACTTGATCAAATTAATGAATGCGAACACAAACAAACATTTATTATTACGGTGGGTGTGTCGCCCATTTACCCGGATCGAAACCAAGACCTAGACCTTTTAATGCTCTGTTATTTGAACTTGGTAATCGTTCCGATATAATTTTTTTAATGAAATACCAAGTTTGCTGATAACCTAGCGCCTCTCGATTCTAATACATTCACACTCTATAGCTAGTAAAAAAGATCAGATGTTTAATTAAAGACCTAATCATTTTTCAAGTTTTGCTATCAAGCAAGGTCAACGTAGTACACATATATATGTATGTATGTATTTGCATAAGGGAAATATACATATGTATTTATAGGAATACGCTTCAAAACATAAATAAATCAAGATTTCAGCTCTATTTTTGTGCTGCGGTGAGTGTTTGACGTATGTACTTGATAGGGCTAATCAAGTGACGTTTACCGTTTTGGCACTATGATTCGACGAAGGCCAATGGCCATTAGCTATATTAGTTATTGGCTCATTGGCTTCATATCAATTTACATGGAGTTTGTGTACCTATTTATACTATATAATATTATTCAGCTAGCTACACGAATCGGGCATTGATTGATTGCTTTGTTAATAAGTGAGAATGATCTATCTTATTCATTCATGTTTTTTGCCTTTTAACATTGCTGTATAGCCATAAAACAGCATTTCTGTTGTTTACATTTCTGTCATACAACATCGAACTTCAACATGTATGAGTGAGTGATCGAGCAACTAGCTTTTGTAATGCACAAATGATGTGCAAATGCCACCGAGCATAATTGAAACTTTTTCAGCACTATCGTTTAAACCTGACGCGCGAGATTTAAAAATAGATGTACATTATTTGTATATTAGATTGATTGATGACAATTTGATTATTTTTTACCAACCATTATGCAGTCATATCGAAATATATATGTATAGACTAAGTGACTAAGTAGCTTACAATTTAATTGAAATTTGTGACTAAGATTCATTAAAAAACAGTCTGCAACTAGCAACTGTTTATTGCCCACAAAGAGTCTAATTACTTTTATATAAGTGTTATAATTAATCAGCTGTAATAGCATGTGTTTCATTGAATGCAAACTAAGCAAATAGTTTCCAATCTCGGCTAGCATTGTACATAATATAATCACATACATTCATTAGCATTCATCTGTATTTTCGCAGTTATTTAAAAGTGCAAGCATTTGCAGTTCATAAAGTCGACAATTCTCGGAAATTGAAATCCTATCGGAGCACCGACAGCTTTTAGTTTCCGTCTGTTTCAGTTTGTTGCTGCACTTTATTAATGCCAGATAATTATTAATTATTTTATAGACTATTTACTTAATTTACTTCCTAGTCTGGAATATAATCAATATATTTCTTAATTACTTCAGATACTCCGATGGCACCGTTAAATTACGTAACTCTAACATTGAACTTATGGATCAGGACATATTATATCACTTGGCTCTTGGCAGTGAGAGTCATGACTTACAGGAGATGTTTGGCGATGTTAAGGTGAGTCCGCTTATGTTTGAAAGCTTCAACTATAAAGAGCGTAAGCCGACATGGATCGACCTGTAAGAAAGAAACTAAACTCTAATACTCCATATGTAATCTGATATGCATAAATGCTAGTCAAGGCTTACATTCTTTAGCTTGGTATTTATAGACCAAGTTAAGAAGTTAAGTTACTTTATATTCGGAATACGGTAATTTACGATCAGATCGATTATCAAGTCAGATCAGATATCGCGACAGCTAAAAAACTAGTTTGGCCGCCATACAGTCTTTGCTTCATATGCCCCAGATCATGAAAATTGAACTAATTTTATTTATATATGATTTATTTATTCATTTATAACCAGTTCGTTTGCATGGGCGGCACACCAAAGCGCATGGAGAACTTTGCACACTTTATTATGGACGAAATTGGCTACAAGCTGCCCGCTGGCACCCAGCTACAGGATATTAGCGCCTATTCGTATCGCTATTCGATGTACAAAGTTGGACCCGTGTTGAGCGTTAGCCACGGCATGGGCACACCCTCGGTTAGCATACTGATGCACGAGATGATCAAGCTGATGTACCATGCCAAATGCATCGATCCCATCTTCATACGCATTGGCACCTGTGGCGGCATCGGAGTTGAGGGCGGCACCGTGATCATCACAGAGGATGCCTTGGACGGCCAGCTGCGTAACTCGCACGAGTTTGTAAGTAAATGCGAAAGACTTTCGATTCGGTAACTGATTTGTATTTTCTTATTTCGACAGACGATCCTGGGCGAGACCATACATCGGCCGGCTAAGTTGGATAAGAAGCTGGCACGAGAGCTGAAGTCGCTGGCAAGTGCCGATGATCCCTATGACACCATCATTGGCAAGACGCTGTGCACAAACGACTTCTACGAGGGCCAGGGACGGCTGGATGGCGCCTTCTGTGAGTTCACCGAAACCGACAAGATGAACTATCTGGAGAAGCTGCGGGATAATGGTGTTGTCAACATCGAAATGGAGAGCACAATCTTCGCAGCACTCACACATCATGCTGGCATCAAGGCGGCAGTTGTGTGCGTTGCCCTGCTGAATCGCCTCAATGGTGACCAGGTGAATGCGCCCAAGGAGGTGATGCACGAGTGGCAACAGCGTCCCCAGATCCTAGTGTCCAGGTATATACGCAAGGTGCTGGCACAGCATGGCCAGCTGAAATCGCTTTTCGGGCATCAAGGGTCCATCAAGTCGCCTAGGCGATTTAAGCTGGTCCAGCAGGAATCTCAGGCCCACGACTAAAGCCAACAACCAAATGCACACGATCATAGCATATACATATATCTATATATGATATTTTGATTTCAAGTTACCTTTGGCTAAATGCCAACCCAACTCGCATGTATACAACTTATTTTTGAAATATTGCTTTAAACATTCCATAGTTTAGTTCAGTCTAAGTTATAATTTCTAAGCTCTTAATTTCCTATGTATGCATGTCAGTGTTATACTTATATAAATATATAAATACATATGTATTATATATATATTTCCTCATTAGCTTATTTAAACTCAAACGTATTGCACGTATTGGCGGCGTAACGCCGAATGCTGAAACAACTAATCGCAAATAAACATAAAAATTAAAGTAACACAATGAATATCTTCGGCTTGCCTAAGATAAAATATCCTTGTAGACATTTTACAGATAAATTATGAGTAGAAGAGAATATATATTTTAAAATACGAATACATAATGGTTTCCATGCTAAACTTAATTTCTTAATTGTCCGATATCGGAAGTCAAAATATTGTCTCGATTTCATATTACTTCATATGATATAGCTAAATGATTCAGCTCATGTATCATATGCAAATCAGTTTAGCTCAACTTAACAAAATTTCCTTCATACGCACGATCCTCTACAAGGCTATAAAAATGTACTCAATGTAAAGTGTTTCAAAATACAAAACTTTCAAATTATTGTTGATTGCATCGATGTTTGCAAAGTACATTTCAATAATGAACTAAACGAAAACAATACAAAAAAAATTAAAATATATAACGTTGTTAATTGTTATGTTGCATAATCGAAATGAGGCAAACCAAATATTATTATATACGATGTATGTGTGTACTTCAGATCATAATATAAGATTTCTTAAATTATTCTATTATACATATTGTACTGTAATTCCTAAACATTTGTTATGCGCATTCGCAAATTAATGTTGTTAATCACGAAGCTATATTAACAATCGTTACTCTTATTCAATTCTAAACTAAACAAAAAGGAATCAAATTATACACATGAAAAAAAATATACATAAAGAACAACAGCTGAATAATACTCCACTCGTATTACGTACTTTATTGTGAAGTTTACTTTGGAATGTTTTGATGCTATCTACAGACGTATCAAATTTTCAGCATGGGCAAGAAGTGGAGCGCAACGATTGAAGGCAAACGATCACGAAATACTCCTTTTGCAGTTCAGGGAGTCAGCTGTGATCTGCGAACAAGGCGTGGCAGTGAAAGTGAAAAATATCCCTCATAGGGCGTGAATTGATATACATTGATAGATATATAGATTTTTATTAAATACTATAAGAGATCAACATCAAGCTGTAAATTATATAGCATGATATATACATATATGAAAATGTATGTATATGAGCAGCATTTACATGCTGCAATATATGAGAACCCGAGCAAATACGAAGTGCTTCATATTGATTTTACGGAGCTTTTAGAGTAGTTAAAAGCTCTCGAGTTGTATGTTTATTCACCCGCATAACATTTAGTCGATGACAAGTGTTGATCGCGATCGGAACACGCTGTGGAAAATTTAAAGAAAATTTATATATATTTGACAAATTTGATTTGTTATTGAATTATTTACTTGTATGTGTATTCGTGCTTAAATGAAAATTAAACAGCACCCGTATCATAATATTTATATTTCTCAGCGTGCTCAATACGCCTAAAACAACAAGTTTTAATCTATATAAGAACGATATGCACGTCGAAGTCTCGTTTGAATGAAATGCACTGTTGCCATACCCTGAACACATCGAAAATGGAAAATCAACTCTTCGCAAGGCTTAGGATATTTCCTAGTTGAGCCCTAAATAGCTGATGTGGAACTCAAACATTTCGATAATCTGTCGTATAGTGCTCAAGACCTTGCTGAATGCTTTTGAGATTAGCTATAAACTGATAATGATTTTCTTAGAATTATTTTTTTTCAGTCGTTATCTTGCCCCTACCATAACCGTTTTCCGTATTGTAAAATGTCGCTGTAAGTAAAGCTGCAATTGTGAAAACATTTAATTATACTCATACAATATTTATGTTGTATCCTACAGCTCCAGGCTGAATAATCCCCATTTAGATACAATGACCTCTGATTTTCTATACCATTTGAACATTAATGTGGCCTGTAGCCAGAACGCCACCGATATTGAGAAACAATTTGGCGACATTAGGGTGAGTAGACTAGGCGAGCATTGTAATCAAATATACTCGAACCTGACTCTGACTACAGGTTATATGCACAGGTGGCACTCAAAAACGCATGAAAGAATTGGCGATATATTTGCGGCCTATACTTGGAATAGTTGACAACAGAGAGCCGGTCGATCTATGCGAGAGCGGTCAGCGCTATGCTGTCTATAAGGTGGGACCGGTATTATGTGCCAGCCATGGCGTTGGTTCCTCAACATTCTCGGTGGTGCTGCACGAGCTGCTCAAGCTGGTCAGGTATGCCAAGTGCAAAGACGTCGTATTTTTGCGCATTGGGACATGCGGCGGCGTGGGCGTGGAGCCGGGCACAGTCATTGTCACCGAGAAGGCCTATAACGGTTGCTTAGAGAACGTGCACGAAATCGTAAGTCACCCAATTACACTACACAACACAGTTGTCATACTGCATTCCATTGCATGCTAAAAGCATGAAATCATATTCATGAAGACAAAGGAAACAAACTGATGCTCCGTTGCTGATCCTACAGCAAAAGTGAGTGCTTTCAGTATATGTCGAGCAGTTGGTTTTTAAAAGGAACACAATACAATTATACAATACAGAATATACGACAGAATTGCTTTAACTTTTATCTAATCTAATCGAATTGAACCCAAACCAATTTATAATATGTATGTTTTATGTTTTATGGTTAGCCCATTTTGGGAAGGCGTGTGGTGCGACCCGCTTTCTTTGCACAGGATATTGTCGAAGGCATTTTAGGTGTTGGCAATCAACCCAATGATGGCTTCAAAACCATAAAAGCGAATACGATGTCAACAGACTGCTTCTATGAGGGTATTTTATATATAGGTTTTTTTTTTTTAAATTGACCTATATCTACCTAAGCATGCTTTCATCAGGTCAAGGACGCACCGATGGCGCTGTGTGTGAATATTCCGAAGACGATAAAATGAAGTTCCTGCAGAAAGCGCACGATCTGGGCATTCGTAATATCGAAATGGAGGCCACCATGTTTTCCTCGCTGACTAGAAAGGCGGATGTAAAGGCGGGCTGCATTTGCGTCGCATTAATCAATCGACTGAACGGCGATCAGGTGGGTACTATGCACATATGTATTTAATCTAATCTAATTTTCCAACATGCTGAGGAAAGGGTTTCATACTTATCTCAAATAATATGAGACTTCTTTGATGGCCAAGTTTGATGCCTTCATTCGATTTCCATATATGACTTGATATTTATACATATTATCTATTTTAAAAGATTTTAAATAATATTCATTCGTTAATATTAATATTGTTTTTATTTTATTTTATTTTATTTTATTTTTTTTTTTTTTGTTTAGGTGACCATTACGATGGAGCAAAAACATGAATTTGAGCAACGTCCCTTTATAATTGTTGGGCGTTACATTAGACATCTGCTAAAATAAGACTCAATATAATATTTTTACTATTGAATATCAGATTAAATAAAAGATCGTTGAAGCTTTTCGAGGAAATGACTTTTTTGGGATCTAAGTAATGGGGAAATCATTCGAATATTTAAATTAATGTAAACTGCTCCAAATTCTGATTATTGGCAATACTTAAAATTCAAAAAAAAAAAAAAAAAATCACTCGATCATTGGTAAAAATGGGGGACAAATGTGAAAAGAATATGCACAAGAATGTCTGCGATCTAAAAGGTGGGTATCGGCCGTTGTTCCTTGACCCTACTCATAATGCAGCTCTGCAGCAATGGTTAACGCACAGAATAAGCGGATCGATGAGCTCATCAGGTTTATCAGGGAAGGTAGCAAAACCGATATACCGCAGGAAATGACTTGGTGCACATGCAACTTGAACCCGTATCTTGAGTGCCTCAATCCGGATATCCTTTACCATCTCAACTTGGATACCAAGTCAACCGATTTTCCAAAGGTCTTTGGTGATGTGCGCGTAAGCTGCTGAAATCTTACTTAATCGAATTGCGCCTCAACTGACGGTCGACTGCCATGCCCACAGTTCGTGTGCCTGGGCGGCACGGGAGCCCGTATGGAGAAGTTCGCCAATTTCATCATAAGTGAGATTGGCCTTAAGCTGAGCATGGCCGTCGAGCTGAGAAATATTTCCGCGGACGGCCACCGATACGCGCTCTTCAAGGTGGGTCCTGTGCTGGTCGCTAGCCACGGCATTGGCGGCCCCTCAATCAGCATAGTGTTGCACGAGCTGATCAAGCTTGTCCACCATGCAAAGTGCCAGGATCCAGTCTTCTTTCGCATGGGCACCTGCGGAGGCATCGGCGTGGAGCCCGGAACCCTGGTGATCACATCGCAGCCACTGGATGGCCAATTGCGGCCCGTATACGAAGTGGTCGTGCACACACAGCCGCAGCTACGGCCAGCCTTACTGGACCAGGCCTTGGCCAAAGAACTTATAGCCCTATCCAATCCCTGTGAAGATGGCTACGATACCGTATTGGGGAAGACACTCTGCGCCAATGACTTCTACGAGGGACAATCACGGCTGGACGGTGCCTTCTGCGGATATAATCCACAAAAGAAGATGTGTTTTCTGCAGCAAATCTCCCAAATGGGCGTTGTCAACATGGAAATGGAGAGCACCGCATTCGCAGCTCTCACGAACCAAGCGGGCATACGTGCCGCCGTGATTTGTGTGGCCATCATTAATCGCATGGAAGGCGACCAGGTGGGTGCACACAGCAGCTCGCTTAAGCAAATCTTCGACTACCTGATATCCCCCACAGATTAATTCACCAACATGCGTCCTAAAGGATTTCGACCAGAGGGCACAAATCCTAATTGCCCGCTATATGCGAAAGGTTCTCTTCAAGTGTGACGAAGATAACGTAGAGACCTGCCACTGCGATGATGCCCCTGGATGTCCCTAATATCACTGTTAAATTACTTGTTTCTATACATTGTCTTTAAAGAGTGCCTAATTTGTTTTTGGAAAATACATTTTCGATTTAGCAGCCGAGTACCAAGTATTCAATCTAGCATTTACATACATATAAAATGGCACATATAGACTTAGACGTTCGTCTCTCGTGAAAAAAAAAAAAAAACATATATGTATATGTATATGTACAATTTAGTGTCTACACAGGTATGAAAACACTTATTGGCAACAGCCAATCAGCTYATAAATAAATAAGTTCTGCTCAACCCCACTTTAAAGTAAATTTAGGTAGGAATAACAGAGTTGCTTCAACAATAATCAGCAACTACACTCATTCAATGATAACCATGAATTTCATATCTTATCAGTCCAATTGTAAAAAGAACTAACGACTTGAATGCGTTTTTATATCTGTAAAATTGTACGTATGCTACTTCAACCCTTCTTAATAATACAATATTTTCAATATATTTTTTTAATTTCATAAATCAATATACTTTTACCTAGTTTGTAAAGAAGTCATTAGATCAATTTAGTCTTTAATATATTCCATCAATTCGATCATCTCCTGGTTTTTGCCTTCCCCATATATAGCACATCTTGTGACTAAAGGAGTAACAATATCAATTGCTAATACAAGTTTTTTGCAATCAGCCTCGTACAAAAATGTATGTTTTGTTTACAATTCTCTTTGCTGATATCGATTAGAAGGTGCGAAAAAAGAATATATGTATGTTGTAGCATTACGATCTCAGATTGTATAAGCCCCCTTAGCAAATATAAATAAATGATTTTTGTTACTGCAGCTCCTGTATTAGGAGCTTGTTGTTTGTGGAACCTGAACAAGTGCTCTGGGGCAGACGCAGCTGGCCTTGTGCCGAGGCCACCTTCTGCATCATGTGTTGCATCTGCTGCTTCTGCGCGTTGGCAATGGAGTTTGTGTTTTTCAATGTGCCACCCAGGGCTTCTGCAGCAGTGGCTATTTTACTTTTAATCACACGGTTCGGCTTGACTAGCTCGGCCAGGTCATAGTCCTTGGGCAGCTTAACAGGCTCCACAGTTGCTGGCTCCACAGTTGCTGGCTTTGGAATAGATGGCTTTGGAGTAGCTGACTTTGAAATAGCTGGTTTCTCTGGTTTCTTGGTAGTTGGAGCTGTATCCGATGGAAGCTCCTGAATGACCATGCGTGTAGCATGTGCGGGAGCCAGCTCGCCCACCTGTTGACGCAATTGCTCCAAAGATTTCTTCGCACTTGTATTATTGGGCTCCAGTTCCAATACACGTTGATAGATGCCATATGACTAGCAGTAGATCAATTCGAATATATTATCCATGGATTATTCCGTTTGCTACTTTACCACTTACCTCACGACGATATCCCTGATTGTAGTTGGCATCAGCTAGACGCAGAAGCGCCTTTACATTGTCTGGCTCGAGTCGAAGACATGCTTCACAGTCCTTGATGGCTAGTAAATAGTTATTTAGCTTTAGATCTGCAGGACGAATGAGAGCATAGATATATGAAATGGCATTTGGTATGAGAACTTTCATTCGAACACTCACACGAGATGGCGCGATTGTTATAGGAGCGTGCAGCCTGCGCCGGATCGAAATTTATAGCACGAGTGTACTCCCTAACGGCATTCTCATACTCCTTGGCCTTAAAGTACTCGTTACCGCGCAAGCGAAATCTGTTTAAAATAAGGCTATTATAATGTATATCAATAAGAAAGAGACTGTTCTGCTCACTTCTCGGCATATTGCTCGCGTTCGACCTGACTTAGTTTCGCGATTTGTGCGTTCAGACGCTGCTGCTCAGTGATCTCCTCACTAATCTCCAGCTGGTCCTCTTTTTTGGTGTTAATAATATTTTTGAGCTTTATTTGTGCCTGCTCCTTTTCGCGTTCCTGTTCCAAGTCCATACGCAGTATTTCCTCATCCGGATCGTACTTGTCCCATTTGCTGTAATCCGTCGACTTGATGCGCTGTTCATTCGTTGATTTGGGCTGCGGCTTTGCGCTTGGCTTAGGCGCCGGTTTATTCTTAGATGTCTCAGTTTCATCCTTGTCAATATCTATTTTGGTAGTCTTTCGCACGGGTGGTAGATCCAGTGACTGAACAGTATCTTCCTCCTTGAGCTCACTTAATACATTGTCCTTGTTCTTAATTTCATTCGTCCAGTCCTAATAGTAAGTGTGAAGGTAAATTGAATGGCTAATAATCATCTTTATGTACATACATATATGGGTTTTAATTCGTGCTTGGCTAACACGTTGCTTTGTTGTATTTTCTCCTCGGTGCGAAACAATTTGCTATCCGGCTTGAGTTTTTTAAGCTTCTCCTCGGCACAGCGCGTCAAGTCTGGAAAGTAGCCTTCTTCGCCGGAACGCAAAATCATCACAATCTTTTCCATTTCGCGTGCGTTTTCACATTTTTCCACATAACCAAAATCCAAATTGCTTATTGGTATGTGATATTTCTGCAACAGAGATTTGCCTTTATCCATGATTATTTAATTATTTGCACTCTAGAAATATAATACAGTTAAGTTATTAGATTTGTTGTGATGTATGTTTCTCTGCTGGTATAGATTAAATAAATTTTGTACATCATTTTTCTTTGCTTGACGACGGATTTGTTTAGTATTGTTTTCAGTTACATTTAAACGATAAAATACCAAAAATAATCGTGTCAGTTATTAGTACCAGCTATAATGCTACCCAACCATCAGTTTACAACACTGAATAACACCAAAAACAACAAAACTATGTTTTGGCAAACATTTGGCATCGCGGTTCTATGGTGTAATGGTTAGCACTCTGGACTTTGAATCCAGCGATCCGAGTTCAAATCTCGGTAGAACCTGTTTGTAAATATTTTTACCATTTTTTTTTTTAATATTTAAGTACTAAAATATTCCAAATTCTTCACTATAATTTGATTCTAACAATTAATGACATCCAGCATTGTATTTCTTAAAAAGTATTTTCCATCATTGCCAGCATACCTAACACTTGAACCTTATTTTAAAAAGTTCAGCCACGATAACACGGTTCTATGGTGTAATGGTTAGCACTCTGGACTTTGAATCCAGCGATCCGAGTTCAAATCTCGGTAGAACCTTTGGATTAAGTTTCTTTTTTTTAATTTGTTTTTATTTTTAATTATATATAGAGGTGTCGAACACTTTATATTCAACATTTAATAAAAAAAAAAAAAATTAAGAAAAAAAAGAAAAAATTACTTTCGCCCAACGTGGGGCTCGAACCCACGACCCTGAGATTAAGAGTCTCATGCTCTACCGACTGAGCTAGCCGGGCACTTGCGACGTCTATGTCACATAATTTAAAAGAATAGCATCTTCGGTCAATTTCCACCACATAACAACAACCGCACCTTTTCCGCTTTAGGCAACAATATTTAATTCAGTTTTAAATACTAAAATGTCTGTATTAATAGACAATTTATTTTTCATTATTTAATAATTGAAACTTGTAATTAAATTTGAGTTGATTTAAGGATAATTTAAAATTATTCGCTTAGTACAACGTTGCGAACTCTTCAACTATCCCCTTAATGTTATTCCAAATTTATTTTAAGTATGTATATGCAATGGTTGCCTTAGAGCTACTACCAACAAGTTAACGCGAATCAATCGCTGTCGTTCTTTTCCAAATAAACATCACCGTAACGATGAAGACGATCGAAGATATCGGAGTCGCTGCCACTGCTACTGGAAGACATATAATCCACAGACTTGGCGCCTGCACTCAACGCATTTGCCATCTTCTCTGTGGGCCGATAATACACTGAATAGCGATTATCAAAACTGCGAGCGCCCGTGTAATACTTCAGGAATTTGCGGGCCCTATTTTGTCCAATGATGGGGACTAGAGTATGCTCTGTAAGCGTAAAGTTGCCAGAGTTACAGCTCTGAGAACGGTCGGCTGGTCTATACAGTAGATAACCCTTTTTAGTCGGCTTAATATTAGTTGGAGGCTGAGGCACGTCTCCAGCAGGCTTCGCAACTGCAGCGGCTGCCTCGCAGCCAGTCGTTGACGTGACGATGGTGCAGTCGCCGTCACTATCTGATATCTCCACGGTTTGCTTGAAGTTTGCAATCGTATTGGCAACATCATTAGTTGGTTGCATATTAAGATTTTTCATAGAATGTGCACATGCCGTATCAATAGACACGGCCGTTGAGTTGCAGGCCACACTGCTATTATTAAAAGTCGATTGTTCCGGCAATTTGGACGATGAATCTGAATCCTCATCCATTTTCGTATCAGCATTTTGAATCGATTTCTTTTGCTCACTCAAAAAAGTTTGTTTTGAAAGCGCAACGGCTAGCTTAAAATCTTCATCGGAATTTTCCGATTCCTCGGATGTCTGTTTGGCTCCACTTTTTAGTTTCGGGCGCACCTTACCGACTGAGCTGCTAGCCACAGCACTCTTCCCATTTTTTCCAGCTGCTGAACCTTTTTTTCCTGATTTTACTGCCTTCTTTTTCTGGCCTTTGAGTTGAGGACCTTTGAGTTTACTAGATTTTGTAATTCGCTCATTTTTCGCCTTCACAGGTTCCTCACTTATTTCTGGCTTACTGATGTCATTGGATGGCTTAGTTTTTGATGCTTTGTCTGAATTGTTGCATTTTTCTAATCGTTTCCTCTTGGGCTTATCTCTCGGTAGGTGTTCCTTGTCTGTATTACTCTTTTTCTCCAACACACCTTCTTCGGTGTCTTCGTCTGTTTCTTCAGCAACAACATCAATTTGCTCAAGTGCTGGTGCCATTTTCGACTTCAACGTTGAGTTTGTATTGAAGCGACTGCTGGTCGGTGTCTGAGTTTGCGCTTTTAAATTCAGTAGATCTGGACTGCTTCTATTCTCAACCAGCCACTCCTCTGTTGAGCTATTGGCGATGTGCACCACATTGGAGCAGAGTCGATCCTTGTTGCAACACTTACATTCACTCTCCAACAAACGCGGACGTAAATCGTCCTCGAATGAGTGCTGACGTCGCACGTGGCGCACGCTACGCTTAAAAGTGCTGTGCGAAGTCCTCGATCCCATTTCAAGTCGCTGATGATGATATAGGCTATGACTCTGGTAGCTACGATAGCCACAATAAGGATGGGAAGACATGGAAAAGACGCGTCTCATACAGGCATTGCAGTCGCAACGGCTGTGAGCGGTCTCATCTTCGCTGGAGGATGTTGATGGAAAATGTGGAGAGCTGTCCCGCCGCTTACGCAGCTGCTTACGACGCTGCTGGCCATGGAAACTGGAAGCAACCCTGTACGGATAGTGCCTAGGAGTCGGGTGATAAATGATTTCATGATCACGCTCACGTTCCCGCTCACGGTTGCATCTGTGCAGCTGGTCACGTCTATGGCGTAATGCCTGCATGTGGTGCCGATGCTCTTGGTCCTCATTGTATTCATTGCAGCTGTATTTAGCACGCAGCTCGTCGCGCATGCGTGGGAGCGTGCGATACATTTTGATTGTTGTCATGGGGCTGCTGCATTTAGTGGCAGTCGACACAGTCCGCTTTCGACTGGCGCGTATATAGCGTGCTGTGTCCACAGAATGCATTGACTCGGTCTCGCTATCGCTGTTGGCCGCCGGAGAGAACACATGATCGGTTGCCTTGAAGCGCCTGTGACACTGTTTTGTCTGCGACAATGGTTGCAGAGTCTTGTCGCCATATGCACTATTGTGACGCCGCAGCCAATCACCCACATGCTGTTCTATCTTCTGCTCATCGAATGTGTTTAGTATGCGATCAAGGCCAGCAGCCTTCCATTTACGTACGTGTTCTTGAACAATTGGTAGCGTTTGATCTAAAATCTCTTTATTATCGCCGCTGCATATCATCAAGGTAATTTCTGCCTTGCTCATAAATGCCGTAGTATTGTGTACTTCCTCCACTTCGTCCACTACATCTTCTACGGCTTCTTCTATATCACCAATACTTTCTTCATCATCATTTTTATATACTTCTTCGATACTACTCATATTTAATTCTTCGCCATCTTCCATATTCTCGCAACGCTTAGTAAAACAAAAAAAAACCGTGAAAATTTAAATGGCGATCGCGTAAATGTTTTTAAAGACCTACCTTAAGAAAGTTTGACCACAGTTTCGAACGTTCATAGGTTAACGTTTCCAGAGATTCTTCATCTACTAGTAAATGCGACATTTTAGCAGGGTATCAAACTTAAACGCCGCAATAATTTCTCCTTACTATTTCTAATGTAGCTTCCTTTTTTAATAGGGTTGCCATACTATTTAAGTGCCTCAGACATACATTTTGGCTATCGACCAATCGATATTTGACGCTACGCTCTAAATTTAATTGGAGCGTAGATTTCGATTACTATTTATAAGCTCGTTAAATTCTGATGCTGTTTCTTTTATTTTGTGGTAAACGCATTTGATATAATCACTAACCACTCTGGTTGGTGATATAATTTAATTTAAAATTAAAAAAAAAAAAAAAACTGGGAAAGCTGTCAAAAATAATCGATTAGCCGCCACGATTTAAAGTGACACTGGGCGGTAGATCAAAAGTAAATGTAACCTTTTTATTTTGTTTTATTTTAAAGTTGCATATGTTTTACATTATATTAATAATATTAATATTGCAGATAAACAAACGAATACATATTATATGCCTAAATAACTGTCGGATAAACATTTGCCACATGGCTCAGTTGAAATACGTAATGTACAACTACATAAGTATATATAAACTTTCGTTTTTCATAAGTCTAACGCTGCTTGCTCCATTGGCCACTATGTCGGAATATGTTGGTTACTGCTGCTGCTACTTTTTTTGTTGCTGCTTGTTGGGTTTTATTTAACATGTATAGTATTTATATAGAATATATATGTTTTGTTTTGGAATATGGGCAGGCCGTTTCACGGTCTATTTGCGATTGCGTATAGCGCGATCCATAATATTATTGATTCGCGTCTCCGAATAGCCCGGCATCAGCATATGGATTAGCTCCTTCATGAACAGGTCACTAACTCCTGGACTGCTGCGCTCGGCCAGCTCAAACACCGACTTCAAATCGCCAATGTCACTGCCGACGCCAACGCCGTGCATACTCTGCAAATTCTTGCTGCTGTTGCTATATTTGCGCTGTATGTCACCCAGCACCGGGAAGAGCAAATTGTTTAGGCAAGCGCTGTTCGTGTGATATGACACGCGCTGGCCCTGCCCGGTCGCAAGCTTGCCGTGATTGGATTGATTGGAAGCCAGTGAATCGTTGTGTTCGGCAACGTTCATGCCACTGCTGCTGCTGTTGCTTACATTATTGGCGCTTGTCGCATGGAATGATTCACGGTTGTTGCTACGACGTTGCTGCTGGTGCTGCTGCTGCTGGTGGTGATGCTGGTGCTGTTGTTGATGCTGGTCCATGCTGAGTGGCAGGCCTAGGGAGGCACGACGCTCTTCAACTTGGTCCAATGTAGCAACCGAACGTGACTGACGCAGCTCTGGTTTAGAGCTGGCGCGTTTCTGCACTATATCAGTGGCCGAACTGGATGTGCTGACCGGCAGCATTCTTCCACCGCCAGATGATGAATTGCCAGCTGCTCCTGCTCCTATTCCACCTCCACCTCCTAATCCTCCACCACTCAGTGGCGCATTCAGCATAGTTGTTGTGGCATGTTTGTTGCTGTTCAAGTTGTTGTTGTTACTGTTATTGTTATTATTGTTGTTGCTATTGCTGTTGCTGCTGACCATCGTCGGCAAGTCGCTGCCAGACGCCGACGTCGCCGCCGCCGTTGCAATCGCATTACCCACGTTAGTTGCACTCGCAGCTTTGCTGGGGCCTCCAATACTGTTACTAAGGTTGCTGCTCGAAGCTGATTGACTGCTGTTGCTGCTGACGCCCGTCGTGGGCGAATGTGTCGTGGCCATAAGTTTCTGCATGGTCAGCTCGTGCTCCTGCAGCTGAAAGCTATTGACTCCGGCACGCGGTGCGCTATTGATGTGTAGTCCCTTAACGGTCATTATCCAGGGTTCGTCGTGACCGCTGCCGCCGACGCCGCTCTGCTTGGCATCCGAATCGGAATCGGAGTTCTCCGACTCAGTTTCGCTCTCATCGCCCTTAGAGAGTTTCCATTTCTTGAAGCGATCGATTAAGTCAATCAGATAGGCATTCTTTTTTGCCTTCTTAATGAACGGATACTTAAGCAGTTCCTTTGCTGTCGGTCGGTTCTCTGGGTCCTTGTTAAGGCATGCCTCGACAAAGTCCTTAAATGATTTGCTATAGTTACCAGTCAATTGGGGCGGATTGTTTTTCGGTATTAAGAAAAGTACACGCATCGGATGTAGCTCCGAATTAGGCGGCTCGCCCTTGGCCAGCTCGATGGCCGTGATGCCCAGCGACCAGATGTCCGCTTTCGAATCGTACTGTGATTGCTTAATAACTTCTGGTGCCATCCAGAAGGGTGTACCCACAAACGTATTTCGCTTGGATGTCGTATTGGTGAGTTGCCCAGCTACTCCAAAATCGGCTAGTTTCACATCGCCCAGCTCGCTGAGAAGCACATTGGCCGCCTTGATGTCGCGATGCAGCTTGCGCTCCGAGTGCAAGTAGTCGAGGCCTTTGAGTACCTCTCGCAGTATGATGCCAATGTGCATCTCTTCGAAGGATCCCGCTTTCATTAAGTCCAATGCAGAGCCGCCACCCAGGTACTCCATAATTATCCATAGTTTGGTGCCTTTCAGAAAGGATCCATAGTATTTGGTGACATACGGCGAATCGCACTGGGAGAGCACCATGATCTCCTGCTGTATGTCATCGATCTCATCCTCAGCTTCCTCCAAATCGATTATCTTGATGGCCACCACCTGCTGCGTTCTATTGTCAATGCCTTTGAAGACCTCGCCAAAAGAGCCTTTGCCAATGCGCTCTTGCTTGGTGAAGATCAACTCCGGGTCCACTTTCTCAGTCCAGGACATGATACCTTTTGTTACTTTTCACACCAGGCCAGCTGACTTCAAATTTCGGTTCGTCTATAAAATTTTCAAGCAAAAACAAAAGCAAGAAAAGGTAGCAACAAAAAATCCCAAAGCAAAGTGAGTTACGGCTAAGGCTGGCTATCGCTCTCGCTCTCTTTTTCTATTTTTTTTATTTGTTGTTGTTGTTGGTGTTGCTGCTGCTGCACGCACTCGAATCTGGTTGCGTTGCACTATTGTAGAGACTATTTTGATATCATGCACAACACATACACACGCACTCATCAACTATTTATCGTATTTTAATCCTTTGCGTTCACATTTAAAAGCATTTGAACAACGTACGAGCTATGTATTGGAGGAAGGCACAAAATTTTCGCAGTTGACTTCGTTGGCTTTTCTTTTGCTTGACTCTTCTTCTCTCCTTGCTTTTTGTTGTTGCGTTGCGCTGGCTGTGTTAGTGACGTACGACGGAAACATCGAAAAGTTTTTTTTAGTAATATGTATCGATATTTAAAACAGTACTAGATGGATCACATAACAGACTTTACCATGTTTTATTGACAGTTTTATTTACATGGTTATAACACACACGATTTTCAAACCGACTTAAATGATGGTTACAGACTTTACTATATGGCTAATACAGTGCTTTAATTTTCGTATGTTGATTGAGAAGCTGAAACGATAAAAATATTTTTATCGATAGTTTTCTTTAAATATTCAGCGCAGCAACAGCATGTAATTTTGATATGATTTCATAAAACCAGTTCAGTTTATTTAAATACTCAATCCACCGATCAATGAATGAAACCAACATCGCAATTAAGGTGAAAACTGCAAAAGAACCTGGCCCAGCCAGAGTAGCGTCAGCAGTGGAAGATTAAGAAAGCCCTCAACAAAAATGATGTACCTGCGCCGCCTATTCACCCAGGAACTGTCGCCCGTCACACAGAGCGACCTGTTGGGCTGCCTTCAACATGCGCCCCAACAGCTGTTGTGTGGCGGATTTGCTGGTGCACCCACTTTGGACAGTCTATCCTGGTTACACAATCTGGCGCCCTGTTTTCCGCTACGTGGAGAACAGATACAGGTTATCCATGAGCCGCATCACTTCTATCAAACCTTAATACAGCGCATCGCTCAAGCCAAAAAACGTATTGTGCTGGCCAGTCTGTACCTAGGTACGGGTCAATTGGAGAGCTCCTTTGTGCAAACGTTGCGTCACAGCCTAAAAGCGGAATCGTCACTCCGGCTAAACGTTCTCCTGGATTTCACGCGAGGAACACGTGGGGTGTCCAACTCTAAAACCATGCTACTGCCTCTGGTACGAGAGTTTGGAGAACAGGTACAATTTTCGCTCTACCACACGCCGGATTTACGCGGTATGACCAAACGATTCGCGCCACCGCGCTGGAACGAGCTGTTTGGACTGCAACACATGAAGGTGTACTTATTTGATGATGCAGTCATCATTTCGGGCGCCAACTTGTCCAATGACTACTTTACCAATCGCCAGGACCGCTACATACTAATTGAGGACAAGCCATTGGCTGATTTCTATGCGCAATTCATTGAACGTGTGCAGGAGTTCAGCTTGGCTGTGGGCGCTGATGCGGCCGAGAGACTGCATCGCAATTGGCGCATTCTACCCTACGAGGGCACTAAAAACCAATTCATTCGGCTGGCCAAAGAGCGTATAACAAATTTCGTACAGGATGCATACCAAAGACAACTGCAAATCAGAGAGAAGAGCAGCCAAGCCGACACGTGGGTGTTTCCCTTGTTAGAGATGGGTCAGATTGGCATTCACCATGACAGCGTAGTGACCAAACAATTGCTATCCAAATGCATAGCCGGCTCACGCCTTAAACTAGCCACCGGGTACTTCAATCTGACCCAGGAATACATGGACACCATTACGCACAAGTGCCTGGCACAATGCAGCATTCTCATGGCGCATCCAAATGTAGGTATTGGCTAAGAAAGAAACCCGATTTTCTAATATTATTTACGTTCTTTTGATGCAGGCAAATGGTTTCCAAGGCGCGAAAGGACCCGCTGGCGGTATTCCTGCTGCCTACACACTGATTGCGAAGAGTTTTTATGAAACCTTAGTGCGACGACAGCAAAATCATCGTGTAAACTTTTTTGAGTACGAAAAGCCTGGATGGACATACCATGCCAAGGGCCTCTGGTACTATTTACCTGAGGCTCGACTGCCCAATTTAACACTTATCGGTTCCTCAAACTTTGGCGAGCGCTCGGTCAATCGTGATTTGGAGACCCAGGTCTGTTTGGTGACTGTCAACAAGGAGCTCAGTCAGCGACTTCAAGAAGAATCGGATCGGCTCTTTGACTTGTCTACTACAGCAGAGCGACAGATTGTTCAGAGACCTATACCGCGCTGGGTACAGGCTGTAGTGCGCATATTTAGAAATTTCTTTTAGCTTTAAATACCGAGTCACATGCTTAGTTCAATTTGTTGATGTTAAGGGCTAGTTACTTTACATGTATGTAGTCTCCAATGTGTGTAGAGTTTCGAGTTTGATCTTGTATATTGCTGTAAATTTATTTTTTACACAGTCATACAGTAATAAAAAAGAACATGTTTTTAAACAACATGCCTTTGCATACATATTTTATTGAACATTTATTCTTATCGGCATTTGTCTTATTGGTTATGTTTATTTAACCCAATTACATCATGTCTAACTTATTTCATGATAAGCGGGTTTGAAAAAGGAACTAGTACATTTTGTTCGGTTCGAAATGAACTGGGTGGCAACTCTGTATAACGGCGCTGGCTTTGGCATTTGTCTTGTTCTTGTTATTCGGTTTGAAGAGAAATTGAAAAAGACAACAAATTACGAATTGGAATTGCGAATGAGCATTGAGTAACATTCAAGTGTCAAAAAAAGAACAACAAAACAATAGATAATTGGAATACGAGAGTGGAGTTGCGACTCTCAGTTTTTGTTCACGATTCGAGAAGGCGTCGAGATGACCAAAGTCGCGGATCAGTGCGAACCATGGATGGTTTCAAATGTTGAATATGGCAGCGGGGTAGCCGCACTTCATCAAGAGATTGAACATTTCTACAACTACATGGTTTCGACGCCCACGGAGTATATGATGCGCATGGAGGCTGTGCATCGGATTGAGCGTGTTGTACTGAGTATTTGGCCCGATTGCTGCATTGAAGTCTTTGGTTCTTTTCGCACCGGTCTAAATCTGCCCATCTCTGATATCGACATTGCTGTTAACAATTTCTATTGGCAAGGCTCGCCATTGCTTGAGCTAAGAGATACACTGATTGCACGAGGAGTGACCGATGATGTCAATGTCCTGGACAAGGCCTCGGTGCCGGTTGTTAAATTTACAGAGCAGATATCACGAATAAAATTTGACATTTCATTCAATACGACGTCGGGCGTTAAGGCGGCCGAGCTGGTGCAGCAGTTTATAGAACAGTTCCCAGAACTACCCAAACTAGTCATAGTACTGAAGCAATATCTACTGCTACAAGGCCTAAATGAAGTATACAGTTCAGGCGGTATTTCATCATATTCCGTCACACTCATGTGCATCAGCTTCCTGCAGCAACAGTCGCTAAGCGAGGCTAAGAACTGCAAGAATGATAACAAATTGGGCAAGCTACTGCTCAAGTTTCTGGACTTTTATGGACGCAAGTTTGACTACTTTAAGTATGGAATCTCTGTTCGTGGCAGCGGGGGAATCGTGGAGAAGTGTGTGCTGCAAAACTCTTTCGCTGATGGCAGCTGGCTATCGGTTCTGACCATTGAGGATCCTATTACGCCGACTAACGACATTGGACGCAGCTCGTTTGGAGCACTGGATGTGAAGCAAGGCTTTGAAGTAGCTTTTTTAAAGCTGTCGAAGCAGGTTGACATGGACGCCTCGAAAAGAAGTGGATCTATTCTGGCCAGCATTATCAATGTGCCACAGTCTGTGATGAGCTATCGAAATTGGGTGCACTTCAAGTTTCGACATTTGACCGACATCAGTGCGGAGCCTGTCAATGGCATAGAGCAGTATTTTGATATTGACGTCAAATTGCAATTGAATGCCACCACATCGGAGGATGAAGAGGAAGATAAGAAGGAGATAGGCAGCAATCTCAACGACATGCCTCTGACCCACAATGGTTGTCAATACAAGGGCTTAGGCTGTTAAGTTTAGTCATATATAATAATTTTAATATAAACATATATGTCATATATGTTTTGATTAACTGCTCGAATTTTAAAAATATTGTTTTTTTTTTTTTTAATAATTAGCTTGCATTATTCTGAATTCATCTTATCTGTACATAAATAAATAATAACAAATAACTGTAGCAGGAAAGCGCTACCAAAACTGAAGAATCTTTTTATTTGGCGCCATATGCTCAATGTTTTATGTATCGATATCAAAGCTGTGTTAGAGTGTGCTATCGTTTTCAAAGTCCCCGATTAAACCAATAGGATTGAACGATATATATCGTATACCGGCTAAGAGGAAGCAGAACAGCTGGGAGTGTTGTGTAAACGCAGGCCGTCAAAAAATTTGGCCGCACGCATTTTTTTTCATAATTGTAAATAAGTAGTTTTAAATTCGTAATAAAGACATGCTGCACATATTGCGTCAGCGTCATTGGGCATTAGCAAATGCCGCTCAACGTTGCCTACACACGACTACCAGCCGGCCGGGCTATATTGTTCTGTAAGTGTTGAATTCCTGGTTGCGGAACAAGTTAAGTTAAAACATTTTTTGTGCCCATAGTGTGCCTGAAATCGGTGAGGAGGGTCAATTGGGTGAAGGCTTGCTTATGCCAAATGGCTTGCCGGCGTTTACCGACATTACTATCGAGATGTGCCTGGGAGCTATTGGACAGCAGGCGGCCGCCGTGGAGAAAGCGATGAAAACCCTGGAGCTGGATATAAAAAATGGGAAGCAACTAAAAGGCTCTGATATATACAGTGAACTGGATGCAGTTACAGCCCCGTTGGAAACCACCTGGGGTGTAGCAAAGGCACTTTATCTGGGTAACAGCACGCTAATACCCACCAAATCCTATATGAACATACACGAGCGGGCGCGAAACGCGCGTGCTGCCAAGTTCTGCAACAAAACGGTGTATACAGCCCTAATGCAGCAAGAGGACCAAGCGGGCGAGGCAGAGCAACGATTGCGTCAAAAGTTCCTGCTTGAGGGCAAATTAAATGGCCTGACGCTGAGCAAGGACGGTCAGGATGGGCTCAAAGAATTGATTACACAGCTAGGTCGGGAGCGTGGCAACTTTAAGAACAAAGTTAATATGGCTGTACATGCATTTGCGCATGTCGTCAACGATTTTCAGCTAGTTCGGGACTTTCCGGACACTCTGCTGGAAGCCACAGCGCGAGATCCTAAGCAAGCACTCGAAGGCCCTTGGAAAATAACTCTACAGCAGCCAATTGTAGAGGGCTTCCTTAAATACTGTCCAGATCGTCTGCAACGCTGGAATGTGTGGCGCGCCAACGTTTTGAAGGCATCCCAGCAACAAGATAAAGCACTGGAGAATAGCACGCATCTGGAAAAAATTCGAGGCTTGCGCAAGCGACAGGCGAATCTCCTGGGCTATACCAACTATGCAGACATGTCCATGCAGACCAAAATGATTGGCAGTGTGGACAATCTAAAGCAAATCTTTGCCCAGCTGCTGAAATTTGCGGGTCCCGCGCAAAGCGTTCAGATAGAGGAGGTGCAAAGGTTTGCCAGTGCTAACGGGGCAGAGCATAAGCTAGAGGCGTACGATGTGAGCTACTGGGCGCGCAAACAACTCATAGCCGAGCATCAGCTACAGGAAGACAAGCTGCGAGAGTATTTCCCACTGCCACGTGTACTCTCCGGAATGTTCGCCCTGAGCGAAAAGCTGTTTAATATACGCATTGTAGAGCAGTCCAAGACTGAAGTCTGGCATCCTGCTGTCAAATTCTTCAATGTGTACGATAATGATGTGAGCAACAGCTCGACACCGGTTGGTGGCTTCTACGTCGATTGCTTTTCGAAGCAGCACAAATTCGGTCGCAACAATGGCTGGATGGTTGGCATACGGAATAGAAACAAAACAGCTGACCTTACTCCACTCTGCGCACTTATCTTTAATTTTACAGATCCGACTCCGGAGAAGCCCACGCTTTTGAGCTATGATGACTTGCAAATGGTATTCAAGACCTTTGGAACAGCGCTGCAGCATCTGCTAACCCAAGCGGGCTACAGCGACTTGGCAGGACTCTCTAACATCGAGTGGGATGCCTCGCAAGTGTCGGGCTATGTGATGAGCAATTTCCTGGACGACCCTTCTGTGCTTCAGACTCTGTCTGGTCACTATGCCAATGATGACATAATTGATATAGAGCTTGCGAAGAAGACGCGTCTGCTGAAAACACAATTGGCTGGGCATAAACTATGCAAGGAATTGTACTTAGCTGACTTGGATGTGGAGTTACATCGCTCGAGCGCCTTTTGGCTGGATGTTGTGCGTAAGATTTGGCCAGTCTATCAGTGTATGCCATTGGACAAGAAGGACGCTCATCCCTGCTCCATGACCGACATATTTGCTGGCGACTGGGCAGCCGCACACTTTAGCCATTTGTATTCCAAGCTGATTGCCGCTGATATCTCGAGTGGATTCGGAGAGGAGCGCAGCGATGAAAACTACGCTACAGTGGGTAAACGGTATAAACAAACATTTCTCAGCTATGGCGGTTCGGTGCCAACGGCGGAGGTATTCCGTCGTTTCCAGGGTCGCGATCCGTCAGTGGTGGCACTACTTAAATCGCTGGACATATTTATTACTTCCCAAACCACGGAACCCAATTAGATCGTGGCCAGATATCACTGTTATCTGTTGTTAACCATTTAGTTTAGAAAATGATGGCATTATTAAATCGATTTGCCACGTTTGTCGCGTTGGATTAACTGATTATCGAGTCAATAAACGACATCTTATCGTGCACATTGGCATTGAGGAGGGCGATATCAGCTCAGGTGTTCTTTAATGCTCATGACCGATTGGATTCTTTTCTTTACTGGCAACAGTTGCTTTATTTAAATAATACTTTACTAATAAACTGAGTAAATTTTATAACATTGCTCTTTGGATTGCTCACGTCTTTTTTTAGCGGAAGACAACGATGATAACAAAGAGTCAGCCACCTCTTTGTTGAAAGGTTAGATATTGCTGCTTCATTTCGTATTGATTGTCTTTACTTTTTAGCGCAGCTGTTAAAATATATTCGGACAGCCGCTCCAGTCTTGGGTCGCCTTGGCCTGCCAATAGGTATTCTTAGACATATGCATGAATTCTGTGCTGCCCTCCACGCGCTCCCGCTTGAACCACATGGGCTCATAGGCCGGAATGGGTCGTCCTTCGGCAATCGCTTGTTTCTCCTTTAGCTCCTGTTGTTTTCGCACCGCTCGCTGTTTCTCCTCGAGCCGTAGCTTCTCTCGATTGCTCTCATCCCAGGCGCCCTCCTCCATGCAACGCTGATCGGGTCGATGGCGTGAATCCGTTGGCGCCACACCCTCCTCCGGCTCGTTTAGCTGGCAGGCAAATACGGGCAAGTTGTAGTACTTGTCCGAATCAGGGGCAGCTGGACGTCGCTGCCAGGCAACCCTATACTCGCCAGCCGTGTAGCTGGGGTTCTTTGCCGACCCGTTGGTGTGCAGCACAGGAGCAATTTCGATTTTGTCATTCCACGTGCCACGTAGCAACCACTTGACCTCATTCTTCGGATTGAGCACCACCCCTTTGACGCTGCGCTGCTCCTCACGACCGAAATATGAGTATGGTATATAGTTGAGGATGCACTTGTAGCCCTTTGCTGCATTGCTGCCAACAATCTCCAATTGGCCTTCCAGATCGACCCACAGCTTGCCCACGATTATATTGTTCACAGTTGTTGTCACGCGTCGATAGAAATAGCGACGGCCCGTGGCGGGGAAAGAGACGTAGGCCCCGCCAACTGGATTTACCTGTTCCATTTAGAAAGAATGGTTGAGTAACTCAGATGAATCAGCTGCGCCAATCACTCACCTGCAAATACTTTCCACGAAACTTGCTTTGCAACGAGAATTCTTGCCAGCTTACCCATTCTTTGCTCTCACAATGCAAAGCCGTAATTGGCGGATGATGCGACACTTGTTCGGTGTGACAGCGCCAGCCGAGATCGTCAGTGCGATCGCATTCGTAAGTCTCCCCCAGCAGAGGATTGAAAGGCTTGTTAATCCGGGACTCTGCCGTGGCATATGCAGAGACCGTGAACGCTGCCAAATAGGCCAGCTGTTCGCACATATCGCTGCAGCTGGCGGCGATATCGAGCACGTCGGAGTACTCATAGTCCTCGACCAGGCGCTGCAGCATCGAGATCGGCTCGTTGAAATTTATGGGCATGGGTATTTTAGAGAGATCCTTGCCAATGCAGTTCTTCATGAGCGTCCACAGGCTGAGCGGGTAGTTGGGCTTGTCCGGCACACGGGTGCGACGATTTCTGATCATTTTAACCTCAGTGGGAGCAGGACTTACTTTATCAACAGCTGGCATCTTCACGCCCTTGGCCAGCTCTATCGATGTAATCCACGTCTGTCGTTCCGCCTCAGTTTCCGCCTTGATGCGAAAGCTCAGCTGCTTACTGCTATCCGAAATCGCAAACGTACAGGGATCCACGTGTTCGATTATGGCTGCCTTGAGCGTTATCGATCCGCGCGACGCCAGATGGACTTCAGACTGATCGAGGTAATAGCTAAGCACGCCATTCGAGAGCACAAACCAACGTCGCTGATACCCCTTCACATAGTTGGTCCATTTCAGTAGCCAGCCCTTCATTTCCGTGTTGCTTTCGCTGGCAGTGCGATTTTTCGAACGGTTTCGTCTCTTTTTCTGCGACAATCGTAATTTGTTGCTCGGAGACGAGGCGCGAGAGTCGGGCGCGGGCGCGGAGTCCATGCTCGCACTTGAGCTATTCCGTCGCTGTCTGTGGTGCGCTCGCTCGCCAGACATATTCAATTCCTAGCGAATAACTGAACGCAATTAAAAACGTCGACTCCCTGGTTGAGCGTTGCGACCGCATTTTGCTTGCGTTATCGCGCGAGCATTTCGCTAGTCGAACGACAGAGATAAGGTATGGCAGCATTACGATTCGCGTTCGGCTCAGTTTTTTGACAGTGAGTCAGTCAGATAGTACATTATCGCGGACGGTGAGAAAGGTGGTGCCATAGGTGTTTCTCTTCTCGTCGTCTTCCTAATTGCGTGAGTGCATGGCCTAAATGTAGTTGTTGGATTGACCACAACACAATTCTTTTATTTTATTTAAAATAATACTTTAATAATAAATTGCATAAATTTATAACATTTAACATATACTCGTTGCATTGTTTAGAACCTCATCAAATATGTATACATGTACATACATACATACATACAGCAAAGGTGAAAACAATTTTCGGTGAAGGGAACACACGTTTCTCCTTGTTGTTGCTGTTGCTATTATTGTTTAGAGTGAAAAGCTGTTTATACTTTTCACTAGAACGAATATGTCTACATATGTATATTGATTAGATATAT